GAGCTTCCAGACTAAAATGAATACCACAGTCTGGAAAACCCCTTTCCATTCTTCGTTCATATACTGGGCAGGGCTACCAAGAGTGCGTAGTTCTTTTATAATGCATTTATCGGCAGATAGATGCATCTAATCTGGCCATCTAGTAAATTCGTATTTTTTTACTTAAATATGGAATTGTTTTGTACCTTATATTATTTCAATGCTCCGCCAAAAGTCAGACGAAAGGAAAGGAATTCGTCAAAATTTTTAAATCATCGTGAAGTTCTCACTCAAGGATCATAGAACTGAATATCGCCTGCGATTTAAGGCATGTATTCGCTTTCAAAATCACAAATCACCATCGATAAAAGACCAACTAACCATTTTTTTACTTTTGATACTAAATCAAATATACAAGAAAATGAAAACAAAATGGTGAATTTTTTTAGTAAATAAAAGTTCCTTTATCTGAGCATTTGTTCTCAACTATTAAGGAAACTTGCAATTAATCGACTGCTCCGCTAGCCAGGCTGCTTCTTTGTGCGGCTCAGTTAAGATATTGACAGAGATAACAGGCTAGGCTAAACTTTAATGCTTTTAGGACTACTTAATTGATGGCACAAACTAAAGAAATGAAGCTGAAGAAAGCAGAGGTGTACTTATTCTGCAAATGAGCTGTATACAAATTTGAAAGGTTAACAGTAAGAAAAAATACCACAAATCAAACTTGTCTTGCGAAGCCTCACATGAAACCATCAAGAGAAATCTAACTCATCCCGAATCAGCCAGTCGCGCACACCCGAGTATCAAAAGAGACTGCAGTTGCAAGGCAAGAAAAAAAACACAGAACTAGTTTACACGCACATGTCCAACCCCTCCTCATACGGCTGAGTTCAGAAACCCGATGCATATATGGTGCACGTGAGACGGCGCAGAGCGCCCCGGGTAAGCTTTTTATACACATGCTTAAAATCGGACAAAAAATAGTACTGCCGCAAGGGCGCAGCAGCGCGAATAAGACCAATTACATCTGCCACAAGTCCCCAGGCAGTCAACCATTCGCAATGCAGTTCTTCAGTACCGGGTATACTGTGCATCAGAGTACAATTATTTTTGTTCAAACATTTTTTTACTTAACAGGGTTACTTCATGCTGGCTCCTGCCTTGGTTACTTCTTGTGATGCTGACTCTTGCCAGCATCACAAGAATGAAGCCAACACCAGAATTCCTAAATAACAATTATCTGGATTCTAAAACAAGGAATTTCATCACAAGAATTAGGACGCTCATTGAGCTCACTGTAGGTTTACCAACAACGTCATCAACTGACCATCTTTGTAAAAACTTTGAAATGTTTAGTAGTAATTCAAAGAATATTGGAAAAAGGTATAGCTGCTTTACATTTAAAATAGATTCAAAAATTATATAACGTATAGGAATTCATTCTTACAGGATACTAGTATGGTCTAATCAGTGGAATATAATTTTTAAGCGTTATAGAGAAAGTTCTTAAAATCAAATTGAGCACTAGTAAAATATAAATTAACGTCTTCTCAGCCTGCGAGTAACGACTGGCATGAGTCGACTGCGATATCGGCAAAACTGATAATTTATTTCATATGAATTTACGAGTTCAGAAGTTTGAGTTGAATTCACTACGAGGTCAACAAATTGTCTATAATTCTAGGCCAACAAATTGCCCACGCTGTTGTAATTCTGAAACTTAATTTTTATTTAACCCCAAGTAGTCTGAACCCTGTTTTTTTTCCGGATCTTACCGGATTTGGTCCCCAGCGTGACGTCAAAGCATGGCATTGAAAGCCGTAACAAGACAATTAACCCAAGTCGCTTGCTCCGAAATATTCATCTATTTTAGGCTTTACACCTCAGAACAATTTAAAGCAAAAGTTTTCTTCATTCAGCTGTATCTGGAGGCATAACAATTATTCATTCTTACAGTTATGAGCCCTAGAAGTACCGTCAACATTATTCTCACCATCGCCCCAGCATCACGCGCCCGTCCGAGGCGTCCTCCCCGAACGTTAGCCGATCTTGAAGTGCACATGCAAGGCCATATGGAATTTACAGTTAAATGTAAGTAACCATACTATCCAAATTCAACATTCAAATTTTTTCTTCATTGAGACTTGCATCAGTTTCATCAAAAGTGGCCAACAAATGTTCACAAATCAGTTTAACATTCCATATGGCTATTACATATACTCAAATTGTGAATAACGAAAACTTTGACTCTGCCTCAGAAATGGCTAAAAACTGAGTTTAAACTTTGAATCTGTCTCAAAAATAGCTATAGGGATGAGGATAAATGGTAAATCTGCCTTAAAAATGGTTAAATAAATGAGAATAAATGGTGAATCGACCTTAAAATATAGCTATATTGACAAAAATGCAAGTACAAAAAATCAATGCCGAATCAAAATGCTTGTAACGAAGCTCAACAGATATATAGTTGTATCTGAATTCAGCGTGTGGCTAAAGACGCTACTAACAATAATGAACATTTTTCTGACCAAATAACGTATGGTACGAAAATTTTCCTGGTTTACAATACCTTATCCACAGAAGCTTAATATTCTTTGAGCGGTCTTCGACTCCTAATAGTTTTTAGGAGTAGCCAAGCGCGCCAAGTTCAAAAAAGCTCAACATATGCCTTAGTTTTCAAAAATAAGTCTATTTAAAACATGCTCGTTGTGCTAACGTTTCACCTACTGATGATAATTCTAGTTACCCGGCTTTAGATACCAATACCATAAAAGCTAGTTAATGTCTCTGTAAAAAAACTTCAAAACATGAAACGTATTTGACTAAATGATCAATGCATTGATGTCCATTATGACATGAACTCAGGCAATTCAATATTCGAAGAAGCGATGGGGAAAATGAAACGTTTGATTAACGGCAGCTTCACTGATGGGTGTGGAAACACGACTACTAGAAGCAAGGTTGACCTTTAAGTGACACCTCAAGATCACTCATCTATCACGGTATTCGAGACACCTGCATGTGCAGGATTTAAGGTCATCTCTAAATTATGAAGCTTTATTAAGCGCAAGGCATCAGTATCCCACACAAAGAGCCTATCTATTTAAAGAAACCGATCGATGTCATCAAGATTTACCCCGACGAGGAGGGCGTAGAATGCGGTAGACTATAAATTCCCTTATAATTTCATCAAATATACGTTTCCCGTTTCATGATGCAAAATAATTAATGTATTACAGAAAATCCACTACAGAATTAAAGTTAGAAATGCAATAACAGTAAAATATAATCAACAGAGAATAAGGACGACTTATCGGTTCACAAAGCATTGGAGCGATCGTATTCTCCAAAAATCATACAATCCACGAGAAGACTGCGTCTTCACACTTACGAACTCCTCATGAACTGCAGTGCAAACGCTTAATTAGGGTTTATCCTACAGTTTCCCTTTCCCTAATTCATGGCTCCAGGTCTGGGACATTAACTGGCTTTATTCGCGCAAATAGTTAACAATAATAAGCCTCATAACCGCCAATGATGTGTATCTCGAAGATCGAAGCAGCACGACCTTTAATCCCGAGTTATGCACGCCGGAGAAAATGGAGAAAATTATGACTTTGCACCTGGTCATTTGGCGCCCTACCCGATGAAACTTCACCTAACCAAGTAGTATCGCACTCGATGAAACTATACCTAAACAAGTGGTATGGCACCAAACGAAAATTCTCCTGGTTAATTATTGTCGTATTTCCCTTAAGTATTTATTTAGCACTAATTAAGTTGGTTGTACTCAAGCTATTCTATGGCTGTTTTAATAAAATGATTTCATAATCAAATAAATAATCCTAAGTTCCATCATCGATTCTACTGCTCAGAAAGTGAAGCCAATATCAATAAGAGGAGGAAACGCGTTAAGCAAGCCATGCATCTTTCACCAGCTTCCACGAATTCGTATTTGCTCTAATACACGGTGTCTTGTTGCGAGCGAACTTTTTTAATGAAAGATGTCGCTTAAGTCACCGAAGTGCACTAGAAGATGCAGAAGTAAAGAACGACCTTCATTTCATTTCATCTGACAAGGAAAAAATCGTTGAATACAAGTTGATTTTTTAGTAAAAACGTTTAATCAACATTTTTTATATTCACTCTATAGAAGATACCACCCGTAAGCCCTTTTTCACTACCATTGTTACAGATAACGAATAATTGTGCGCACCTTCGCCGAGCAGCGTAGCCTAATTAAAACGATAAGCAAATTTGATGAAGTTTAACTTAAGCCACTAAGTTCCCGTGTAAATTAGAAATAATTTTTTATGCTGGCATCAATATTGAATATTTACGAATAAAAATGAATGTTAATTTTAAAAGATCAATGTCCAAGGAAAAGAAAGGTGATCCTTACGACGTTTATTGAGCCAGATTTCAACTCAACTTTCTCTGCAGGACACGACGCCATGCAGTGGGATTTTTTCCTCACGTGGCAGATGTCAAGTTTTGGAAAGTAAATTGTTTTGATGCCAAAATCAGAAACAAAAACATGTTGGAGAAAGAACTTTGGTTGTACTTTGGTAACAGATCGTCTCAGTGAAATAAATTCCGCTTCTCTCATATTGCGTACATGCGAATTTTTCAATCAAACAGAAAAAAATCCTGTCTTCTTAAGATTCGCAATTGTAAAACTGAAAGCCAAATACTAAAATTATTTTTAAATGTGCATTATTAGTTATTTATTTCCCGTGAGATGAGCGAAAAATAGTGAATATTAAAATCATTTTTCATAAAACAACAAGCGCGAAACTGCCATCAGTGCTGCGCAAAGAGCAACGAACCGATTACCAGAACCAAGAAGCACCCAAACGACAAGCAGGCCACGACAGGTCAGGCTTGTCCGCGTAGCAGTTCTACGAAACGCCACGATCAAACGTAAATAAATACCGCATTCTCCCAATAGATCTACAGAACACCATTAAAACCTGCAGAGTAAAAACTTCTTAGGTTTAAGCGTGTCAGCGACTCACCATGAAAGCGGACATCTCATGCTTAACAGCCTCAGATATTTTCTTCTTGACATTGTGGACGGTGTGCGCCAGACGAGGGCTGAGACGAGGGGAATGTTTGGGTGTGAGACGAGGGCTGTGGCTGATACGTGGAGTAGTGCGTCCCGACCAGGCGCTCTCGGGCGTGTCAAGCTCGTGGATGTTGGGCACCGACAGGGTCAGCTGCTTCAGGGCGATACTATTATTAACCGATAGCCCGCCTTCAGACTCGTCCAGGCTCTTATGAATTGCACGGCCGTGTTTCCTGTATATGCGACGGTCTCCTGCAATTTCTGGAGGAACAGCAGATCCGTCTGCTTCTCCGTCATTGCCAGAGTTCAAAGATACTGGAGTGGGGGGTGCATGGGGCACAGGTTCATAGTCTGCAGGAATGGAATTGGAGAGGGTAACATCGTGATGTTTTGGCATGGAGTTGAGTTTGTCAGAGACTTCAATCAGGAGGGAGCCCGTTTCTTTGCCGACTTTGGAGGGCTCGTCAAACACTGACGATGGCGTGCCCAAAGTGGAATCATGGGACGCAGTCTCTTCCAAGCAGGGGATTTCATTGTCCCCTTCATCATGGCACACGATTATCACTCGCTCTTCACTTTTAGCTTGAAACACGTTCGTCAACGACCGCCTTCGAGCGACAGATCCATGCGCGGAATCAGGAGTACTTAGAACGGATCCCGGCGTCGCAGTGCCGGACGCCGTCAGAAGCTCCAGTTGCCGTCCGGCCTGAGAGAAGACTTCATCGGAGGACTTGTCAGACTCCTCCTCGTGCTCGTATATTACGGAGTTGATTTTGCGCTCGGTGAAGGTATCGGCCCAATGCTGAGCGGCATCTCTGATCGCAGGTGGATGGGCTGCAGCGGTGCCGGTTTTCCTGATAGCAACTCGCCGTGCCACGCCCGACATTTTAGGCTAATGGGTTGGTATGAGATTTTTATCGATCATAACCTCCTTGAAAAATAACATATATCGGCACCAAGAACATTAATAAGCCCACTCTCTGAAGCCGGACATTATCAAGTCGATCGAGGAGTTCGCTACTAGAAAGTTAAACGTGAAGATTAACTAGTAGTGCAGTAAACTCTGACGTAGCCATGTAACTAATTTTCGTTCGTTTGCGGGAAACTTTTAATTAATCGTAATTTTACACTAAAGCAGGAATGAAATAAGAGTTTGCCGACAGTTGAATTTTTACATTCAAGTTCTATTAACTTCTTTACATACACGTTTCACATAAAATAGAGGCTTATATATTCAAGTGAAAATCGAGAAAGTGACAACTTCAAAATCAGGTAATTCCGCCGAAGTCGATTCCTGGTTCAAAATTTCCCATCATAAGTTTGAAAAATATTCATATACATGACAATTCGATGCTCACTCCCTGCTGCATCTTCCGGACCATTAAATTGCAGAGAACTAATACATTTTTCAGTTAATATTTCAATTTTAACAAGGAAATAAATTTAACTTTAAAACTAAGAGTAGGGATAATTTGTAAAAAATAGAAATGAATTCAAGTAATGTCATTTAGCAGAACAAAATTGAATTCTGAAAAATTCAAGGTAAATTATTAATGAAGAACTTTCATTGATGAACTTGCCAATTATTAAAAAAAGTAACTATCTACCAAGTAATTACAAGAAACTTGTGACAATTTACGAGTCTTTCAATGATGAGAAATAAAAGAATCCTAATGCACTCAACGAGCGGGACAACGCACGGCATCCGAAAGCGTCAGCCAGCACGAAGAGAATAGCTCACCACACACGCACACAGTGCGGAAGCTCCCGCGTTACTGGAGGGCCAGGGTGGCAAGGAACCGCCAACGCCTCGGCATCAGGCATGGATGAATGATCTAGAAATTCCAGGCACTGCAGGGCAGACGGTCAAAGGCTTCCTGCTCCTGCCTAACTTTAGGCTCAAAATGATTTCAGTTTAATCTTGCTAATCATTTCGGGGATAACTTGGACAAGAGCTCGCTGCAGAGGCCTTTAGGGTGGCAACTGTGTTGCCACCCAAAGAAGCATCAAGGTGAGGCGGTAAGCTTTGCATTCTACCCAAAACCGCCCGCTAAACCACCTCACAACATGGCACCCAGAAAGGTTTCAGAGAAACACGTACCATGGGTACCAAGATGTATAGAAAAATGTTTCAACGGTTTTCACATAGAAGCAGTGTAAGCGAAGTATCGATCATTCGCATGGACAATCAACAGATGGAAGAACTTTCAAAAAGTTAGGGGCCAACGGAGACAGGGAAGATTCTCAAGAAGGAAGATTACCGAACAACTGAAAAGGCAAAAAGGTGCGAGGAAATCAACAGGAAGACGGAAGATCAACAGGCACGTATAAGATCAAGAGAAAGGCGAAAATCAACAGGAACGGAGATCAACAGGAACGGTGGAGATCAACAGAAACGGATGAGATCAACAGGAACGGATGAGATCAACAGGAACGGATGAGATCAACAGGAACGGATGAGATCAACAGGAACGGATGAGATCAACAGGAACGGTGGAGAACAACAGGAACGGTGGAGAACAACAGGAACGGTGTAGATCAACAGGAACGAAGATCAACAAATATTAGCTCGGCCGATCACCAGGCAGGAGTGCACACTCAGACTCTTGGGCGAGTAACTAATCTGGGTACTAGCGACGAGCCCATGCATCAACAGTGTTCACCTTTTGTTCTCGAAATCAGATCAACATTGGTGCTGATTTTTGTTCTCGATGTCAGATCAACATTAGTGTTGACTTTACCAGTTGCTCGATAGCGGAAGCTTGCACAAATGTGTGTCGTGGACACGGAGGACCAAAACTTCACGTAAGGACATAAGATTTCAGGAGCGTCCTAATCGTTTTAGATCATCAAAGTTACCCAGGCCTCTAAGACCTAAAATTGTTTTTAATAACACGTTTGCATTAACATTGAAAAGACACTTATAATTTTTATGATGCTAAATAATTTCGAGAGCAGAGTCGTGATAGATAATAAATGTTTGAGAGAAAATTGTTTCATGGGATGAACTCGATCTAACACGAGACAATCGAATACAAAATACCCCATCTTTCAGAGCATCTATAGAATGCTGCCTCATGAATTTCAATTTCTATTCCTAACAACAAATTATCGAAACTCGCAATAAAACGTCATAAACACACTTCGTTAAAAAGAAACTTATAAGACCCAAAAATATTGAGAACTTCCAGTGTGTTCTCTCCTAAGCACAATTAAATCGAGGAAGCTTGTACTCTGGCTGAAAACCGTCGACAGAATTAACAGAATCCGAAATTCGTTTAAACATAAGACAATTGGTGACCCACGAACGCCGTTGCAAAGAATCCGTGCTGCATGCTGGTCATACAATGGAGTAAATAAATCTAAGAAATGCGTAATAATAGAGGTTAGATTAAAATATCGACGAACACGAAGAAAAATTGCCAACCACTTCGTGTGGTAGATAAAACAGATGTATAATTACGAGGCCGGGTTGAGGCAGGCATGCGGAGACAGAAATGCAGGGACTGATGATCTCAGTTGTGATTAAAACGTAGCGCTGACCTTTCAAATCGAAGAAAATTCGACCTTTCGAGGACAATTACCTTCATAAAAAACTCTTCAATAATGACTCGTAAAGCACGAAACTGACTGGTATGTTAGATGCTGAATACCAGCATCGAACCATTACAACCATGATGACAACATTACAAATGATTACAAATTACAGCTACAGCTTCCATGAAATATGGTACAAACATGCATAACGAATAGTATATATTAGTTAACGCAAGGTAATCGTAAGCGCAAATGCTCGACACAATCTATATAATTGATCACAATCACACACAAAGCCCTAACCAACATTTAGATTTTATGTACTCTAATTAGTATATTCAAGTTCTAGTAGAAATGACTAAAATTCATTCTAATTGTACCAAGCACAAGACAGTGTTTCAAAATACGTTATATGATCAAACGCACTGCAGTTCATTAGAATGATATTACGTTAAGACAAGTCATAAGACAACCATGTATTAAGTTAGCAATCTAATACAAAAGCGAGTGAGGCCATACATCATACAAAATCGCAGCCTACATTAAATTGCATCTATACTTTATTTTGCCACGAGATCTCTTCTAAAATTCGAGGATAATATACGTACGGGACGTAATAAATCGAACACTATCTACAAATTTGAAATATATTACAGAGTAATTTTGGGATGCACCAAGAGTTTAGCGAGCCACAATCTGGTGCATCTAGCAACCAAATAATGAACACGAACGCTGGCCCACGGATGATGGCTCATGAAAAGACTCGCCAAAAAAAAAACAGCGATGAAGCATTGGTCGCACCGTCTCGAGTCTTTCAAGGTCTCGTGGAAAAGAGGCCCGAAACACGGTGCCTTGCCCACCGCGCTTGGGTGCAAGTCTTTCAGGGCCTGGAGGAAAAAGGGGAACCGAAACACGGTATCTTGCCCACTGTGCTTGGGTGCAAGTCTTTCAAGGTCTGGAGGAAAAAGGGGCCCGAAACACGGTGCCTTGCCCGCCGTGCATGGGTGCACAAAACTCTGCCCTGACTGCCGCATCCGAGTTGCGGGTCAGTCGGCCGAGTCATGGACGCATAATAACCGGCGACCAACGTATTGCGTGCCTTGATTTATTGTGTGGCTCAAAAAGTTTACACCACGCAGGCACCAACTCTATCACAGCAGTGAGCGCATAGGGACTCTCACCTTACAATATTAATAGCGAGCGATTATAAAAAAAGGCTTCAGATTAAAAACTTCAATTCAAATGCGTCGACAAGTCGTCGAATATTCAGCATCAGGTAAAATTGATGTACATAATTCAATAATTCTCTGAAGTGTTACTCAACACAACAGATGTAAGGTCTCTTGACAACGGAATGAAATTTATAATGAAGTTTGTACGTTTGAAAAAGTTATATATAAAAATGCAGAAGTATTAAGAAAAATTTATACAATGCAGGGTTGCAACTCGAAGTCACTCGACAGCAAGCTGACTCCAGGCTCGTCAGAGGAGCCAGATCACCAAGTTGTTCCGAGGTCCGCGACCAAGCATGGCACATAACACATGTTTAGCGTCTACACACGCACGTCGAACATCGATGCTAGCAATGCAGTGCAGCTATAAGGCTGCCCCAAGAGTATAATGCGTCGGACCACATCACGATAAGAGCCAGGGAGCATCACGCGCTGTATGTCGGAGGCATAAGTTATGAGGCGCAACTCGTGCTATGGAGGTGAGTGTGATTTGTAACACCATCTCGCAGCGGCCGAGAGGGTTTAATACCGCACTTCGATCGCGGGTAAAGAGTTCGCGATACAGGAAGAACTCGCAGCTTGAAAAGAAGCTAACTCAGGCCACCCGGTATAAAAAATGCCAAAACATATACATGCACGGACTTGCAAGGCGATGTGCCAAAATGAATTTGGGATCGAACACAAGGAAGGCTCGATTGTTATGGGTAATCTTTCGAACAGTGGAAAATTACAAAGAATTAAATCAAAATTGTATAAACACGTGTCTATAGTGAAATAAAAAGGTAGAGCTGGAAGGGCTATAATTTACCGATTTAATTCATTAATACTGAAACTGCTGAGAGATGATCAAAATTATGATGGATTCAAAACCAATATCAAAAGTAGCATATCACTAAATTTGCGCAAGTAAAGATAAATAGAATAGATGATGGTTGACAAAAAAAACTCAATACGTACATGCATATCATCATGAAATTATGTCAGCAGGAAAAAAATGACGGAAGAACTGGATAAAAAAATGAGAAGATACTAATGAAATAAATTACATGAAAATTTAAAAACGGTCCATGGCGAAAGATTAATACATACGAACGATTGCCTACATAAAATACTTGTAGACTAATACACTCAATTTGATCGTTGGACAAGTTCCCAACAAATAAAAATAAAGCAGACAATATTAGATGCAAGTGAATTAAATTTCATACGTTGGCTTTTTCAAGTAACGCGAACAGATAAATGACGAGTCTCTGTAACAATGAAGCAGTTAGATATTGCGAGCAGATACACAAAAAAACTTTTTAATACAAAGAAGCACTAAAGCTGATCACAGAGGAAGGAAAGTCTGGCATTTCATAAAGGTCGCAACGCAAGACGGCCGTAAATGTTAATAAGGCCGAGCGAAATATTGTGACGAAACAACGCAAGTGTCATGTTCCGATGGCTGCGTGCTCAATTAGATTTGTGATACGAATCTAGAGGACGACTTGAACGTTCTCGACCCTCAGCACAAGAGAAGAGCTCGACGACGCATACGAATGAATCCCCTAACGTACGTTAAGTGAATAAATTTCACTTAAATTCTATCGCAGAAGCCATTATACATGATCAGCCCGTGCTGATCGGGTTAACCGATATAAAATTAAACAATCTGTTCATTTA